AAACGTATATAAAAAACAATACCACCAGTATTGTTTTTTTGTTTCCCTACGGCCGCCCGTGCCGCATCTATCGCCAAGTTATCCTAATTAATGAAAAAAAATTAATTAAGCTAAATTTTAATTTTTTCGAGGTACCTATTTTATTTATTTGTCTATTGAAAGGATTAGATGAACAGACCTACTCGTATATTACATGTTTCTAATATTTATCTGAGGTTGATAATAAATTAAGAGTCACTTTATTCATTCATATATTATGGATTCATAAAATTACTATGTGGTTCATTTAACTTTTGTATGAAACTGCAAAATGTGACAATTGCATTATTTCATTGAAACACAAGTGAACATAATATTTTAACCAGCATTATAGATACAGCGACTTTGAGCTTCCTCATACGGCCAGCAGTGAAGGACCACGTCTCAGATCCATAGGTCATCACTGGCAACACGCACAGGTTGAACAACCTAGTTTTGAGGTTCTGAGGTATGTCTAAGGCCTATGTTCAGCAGTGGACTTGTGATGGGCTGTAATGATGGTGATGATGATGATGATGATGATATAGATACAGCAAGGTTGATTATTTGGCTATTTTCACAGTGTGATGTCTTATGGATTTGTTGTGGGGATCAGTAGCTGATGTTGAGAATATATTTATACTACAGAAAGGAGCCGTTCGTTCCATATACAATATCAGGCCAAGAGACTTACTCACAGATCTATTAGCTTAACGGTTGCTTCACATTTCATATTAGATAATATTATTTATGTTAGAAACTATTTTAAAACTTTTCATAAAAGTGAGTGATTTCCATAACTGTTATAACCGTAATAAATCTAAGATTGCTAAAGGGATGTCGTAGTTTTTCCACTTTCAGAAAGTGATTTGTAATGGTCAATTTTGAATAAAAATATTTTGAAATTGAAATTGATTTTGATTATAATCAGGTACGAGTTGCTGCATTTATTGCGCATGCTACGTTTATACGCATGTGTAGCAGATACGCTATGGTTAACATCACTATTGATAATTGTACGAACCGATTTGTTGTCCGTTCCATAGCGATCAATAAGAGACAACAACGGAAAATAATCGTTAACGCATTAGACGCAGTATGTTGTCGTACAGCTAGGGTTACCATATCTCAGGATTTGTCCTGAGATTTCAGGATTTTTAGACTTCTCAGGATTGCGGCTGGATTTTGCAAATCTCATGAAATCTCAGGATTTTTAGAACTTTCAATATAATACAGCTTACATTTTAAAGATCTCTTTAATAAAAAGTTAAACAAACTAAAAATAATTTTCCTTTGGTAATAAATCCACAATTAAAATCAAAACTTATTTATCCAAGTAGGTACTTAAACAGTTTTATCATACTTAATATGTGAAGATACCTTTTTAAGTAAGGTTTTCTTCTCAAACTGTAAAAAATTCTCAGGATTTTTAAATGGAAATCAGGCCTCTTCTCCGGGCTTTTAATTTTTTCATTTGGTAACCCTACGTACAACCGATACGAACGAGGAGAGTAGAGATTACAACCGCGTGCGACCCAGCCGGTTGAGCGTATACAAAAATATGCCATGACATCATGGTGTGCGAGCGAGACTTTATATATTTGCCTCTCGCTTTTTATAAATACTCTAGCGGGTGCATTTACTTCATTCGTGTAATCATGTTCAACTTCAATTAAGTCCGATCGATTAGCAGTTTCGGACGTATACCTGCGATAAAAGAGCTAACCATTAAAAGAGTAGGTATCTTATTTTGTAAGCAGATACGAACAAATTATATAAAGTATTAGTGTATGCCACGCTTACTTTTGTTTTTCATTCATTATAAGCCAGTGCTTGACCATAATCCCACCAGGTGGTAAGTGGTGATGAAGCCCTAGATGGTAAATCGTATTATTTTAGCTATTAAAAGCATATTCACTCGTGTCATGAACGTACCCATATTATAAATGAATAGCTCTTGTACTTCTAATTTAAACATGTATAAACGTATTATAGGTAATACCTTGCCTGAACTATGATGTCGTTCAAGTGTCAGAAACAATGTATGAATCATGGAGTTAATTTTCACGATACTTTAATAGAGTTTCTTTCCTATTGGTAATGACAATGCCCTACTTCCGGACGTAATAACATAATATAATAATGGTATCTGCCAGCTACAGTTGAGTGAGATCAATATGTTGGTTTAGTTAAGACTTACAATAAAACAAATTGTTATATTACTTTATTTTAATGCGTTAACTGTAATTACATTTTATCGCATTACTAAACCACTATCCTGAATAATTTAAAAAATAAAACTTTAGAATTTACTTGTTTAATTTGCGCACAACGTAATATTTTCAGTCGTTAATAACATAATAATTACTGACCTTATATCTCTGGCATCTAAAAATTGTTTTATATATATCGTGTACTATTAACGCAATTTAATTTAAAACAACTCTCTTTTTATAACGATGAGGATCTGCATAATAAAGGCTCCAGTACACGTTGGTCGAGCGCGCTTGGCGAGCCCGCTCGGCTGATTTTTGTGGTGCCGTTCACACGTTGGCGTGCTTCATTCTGCGTTGGTAGGTAGATGATGATGGACGTTAGTGATCGCGGCCTTATTTTTATGTTGCTCATGTTTGGGGTTCCATATAACTGATTCATTGTGATAAAAATCAATGAACCTAAATATTTCCTCATTACGCCATGTCGCCATGTTCGTGAAATAATTTTATTAATACGTAAAGCGTAACTATGAACTGAACACTCGGCCAACGTGTGATCGCTATTTGCGGCTTGCGCCAAATTTCTTTGATTTGTGTACGGAAAACCGACACTATACGGCTTGTCGGCTAGTGTTGGCCGCAAACGCCAAATATACACAAAACGGCCCAGTACACGTTGGCCGAATGCACTCGGCGAGCGCGTTCGGCCAACGTGTACTGCTACCTTAAAATATAAGTGGATTGTATCCTAGTCTAATAATCTTAATAAGCATTTTAACTTCACAATTTTAATAACAAATAATAATATCAATGTATTGCAAATATAGGTACTTACAGGCTTTTTGAATAAAAAATATTTTTAAGATCAATTATTTTGAATGACCTTTTCAGATATGACAATCTCAAAATGAATGAATTTATTAAAAACTATTAATCGCTTGGCAGGCGGGCTGACCCCGATTTTTATTTATTTTGAGTTAGTTATCTGGATGGTGCTGCTGCCCATTTCCTGTTTCATTTCCTTTGGTTGCCTCTTGCGACACCCGTGGCATGGGTTCTCTTATATCGCTACTACACGGTATAATGAATAATTTACGTAAGCTAATATATTTTAAAATTTTCAATGTTACTAAGTTTACTTAGAAGAGTCACGGCGATGCATAAATAATGACTGAAGCACGAATAGGTAGACTCGACCGGAAAACGATCACGCTCGCACAGAATACCACCATGAAATGGCAAGAATCGTTGACACTGCTAGCTCCTTAGGAGTACTATTCCTCGGGGTTGACAACGTCTATGGGCACCCACTTATCATCATATGGCTTATGTATAACCCTTATGCAAACATTATGTGAAAACATTGAATAACACGATGGCAGCTAAAAACTATTTTGATTAATTTTTATATACCTAGTATAGTTAGTGTACGCGTACATAACCTGTACCTACAATGGCCGTCAAGAGGTCGTGACTAAGTGTTGAGCTTTTTGATCTGACGTCATTTAAAGTTGTTGACCCAAGTTAGCTTCATTCGAGTGCCGTTCATTTCCTCCGAATACTACATTACCTGTGCTTATTCGTGTACTATTTTGTTCAATTTGCCATGGCATTATAGATGTAATAGAATATAAATTGTTTTTTAATATTTGTAGCGTAGGTATACGTAGGCTTACCATAAAAGTGTAACAATTATCTTCAACCTACGTGTCAAACTATCAGGATAATAAGTAACACAATCCATCTGACGGTAAGTGAATGTTGTGGCGCTTAGACACCTAGATTTATCCTTGATTAAGATTAAAAATGTATAATGCGTCGTCGCTCTGAGAACTAAAATAAAATTCCTCGTTACCAGGCAAAAGTTCTCCGGTTCACGTAACTTACTATACATGACACAACATCATTAGGCTGCTAAACACGCTGGGATTCTCTGCGACTCTACCTCGGTCGAGCCGACCTGTTCATCCTGCAACCACAATACGTTGCCGCGTGCGGCTCTACAACGTACAAAGTACAAGAGGCGAGTTTTTTACAGTTAATTTCCGTCTTATTTATTTTATATTGACGTCATTTTAAAGTCTATGTTAACCACGCAATTATCACAAAACTGTTTAAATTAAAGAAGACCGAACCGAAAATATGTGAACTCAAATCAACTATGGAACTTGACAGCAAATGTCAAATTTCGCGAAGATCGAGACACTTCTTTAAATTCGAGACTTAAAAAATTACTTAATAAGACCGATTGTATCTGAATCCGATGACTAGTTTAGAAGTCAAATGACGACAAAGAATCGTAAATATATTTTTAATATACATACATATTATCAGCTACTAATACACAACTCCACCTCTTTTGGGCTCCTTGGATTTCAAGTGACTAGTTGATAAAAAAAAAGCCGAGTCACGCACTATGTACAAAAACAGCAAGCTTCGTTTGTTATATATAAATAATGCGCATTAACCCAACAATAGCTGGGCGTACGTAATTAGCGACATCACCTCTACCCCGCGACCTGAGTAAACAAGTCGCCATGATGTCATGTTGATGTTGTTGACCCACAGTCCAGATATGCGTCCGCTTCTCATTTTCGGTCCGATATACACAACCAAAATATTAATTCAATATGCAAGAATATCGTGTATGAATTTTGATATTGTTTAAAATTAAAGTAGTATAACAACAGAAATTAAAATAAGTATGACTTAACGTTTATTTTTTGCACCCAATTATTAACGGGTGAATAAAAAAGGTGCGCTTACCTGGCTAATGCCCCCTTTAACTTGACCATGCCATTAGGTGTGGTGTTGTGATTGTGCGTGTCCGCCACTTTGCTTGGTACTACATCAGGTTGTTGGTAGTTATTAGGAATGTCGCATAGTAGTGGTTCCATTCGGCAGGAAATCGACGCTCGTTTGGGCGGAGTGGCACGCGGATAGGTATGGTGGCGGGACGTACTTGCCGATGTCTCGCTGCATCTCTGCTTGGGCAGAGTTCTGGCGCATAAAGCACTGGCCGCGTTTTTAAGATGCGTACGAAATCTGTTATTGCTTTGGGCGCTCAATATTGCACCTTCCATCATCAAACACAAAAATCTCACTTAGTGTATGTCCGAATCCATTATTTTTATATCCATTTCACTTTTGCACAACGAACTGTATTTACTATCTAGAACATGTTAGCTTAAAAGGCACATCGAGTAACAACGTTCACTGTACACTGTTTTATGATTGTCAACTTCATTATTCTTGTAATAGATTTTAAACATGTTTTTGACTGAAATAACACAATATGAAGTATGTAAAATCATGTTTGGTTTTTTTTGATGAATTTACGATCCCTGTATTTGAAGTCATAAACGAAAAATTTAATGATAATGGAATATTTTTTAGATCCTTTGAATTATTAACACCTGATTAAACAAAATTATTGTTAATAATAAAAAGGGATTAGGTTTAAAAAGCATAAAGGTTTATAATTTTATATCGTTGCTGAAAAATATAAAAGTTTTACGTTAAAATTATTAAGCTAGAAACTGGTTAAAAAGAACCTGAAAAAGCTCATTGTTTAGTATCACTATCAGTCGCGGTCTATTTAACTAACTGCTCGTTCGACTGCCTTGCAGTAAGTGTTGTGTAGGCACAGCTACTTATGAAGCTGAATCAAGGAACTTGTCAAAGTCACAGAATGTAATATATAGTAGTCTAGTAAGTTATAATAACACCGTTCTTGGTTCTAGCACTTATACCACTGTTATGAAGCTATGCAATGCAGGAAAAACGTAGTGAAGACATCTGTCAATGATAAATAGTAACTTTACACTAGCCGAAGTAATGAATGGAAATTTAAGTTTCGTTTCACGCGCATAATATGTAAAGCTATACTTGTGGAAATTTTGCCTCGCGGTCAGTGGAGGGGGAGGGGGGGAGTCAGGGGCGAAGCGCAGCGTAGGCGCGCTGACATCACCGTCGAAGCCAGCCGCTCTTACATCACCGGCGACTACCTCCCACTGGCCGAATGGAGCCGAGCAGCTCTCAGTTATTGCTATCGACAATACATCGTTCACGTTCGCCGCCTTTGTCGGTCATGCGAATGACGACTGACTACATCCAAATAGTTTATCGCAACGTAAAAATCAGCTCGAAGTTTTTGTATTAACATAATATGATAATTGTCTGACTTGCGTATTTTGTAAAGTAGGTAATTCAAAAAAAAAATCAACTTTATGGCTTCTGAAGTCGGTGCTGATGATATATAGTGTATCCAAAAAGAAAGAAGTGTATCTAAGATGCTATCACGTGGAATTTTTTTATTTTTTTAAGCGTTACCAGCATGCGAGGATTTTTTCCTCTACCGTGGAGACAGTTAACATACTACATAAATTGCATAAGGACAACATCCAGAAACGGAACAATTACTTCTAGGCCATAACTCATCGCTAAGCCACTGCGCCACAGAGCCGTCAAATTATTTTATTTGCTTTAGTTTTCGAGTCGGTTCTACTTCTTATTAAGAGTTTAATTTTTTTTACCCTTTTGAGTGGTCTAAGGAATATCACAAGTTCAAGGTAACAACTAGAATGTCGTTTAAATCGGAACATTAAAATCATCATCCCCTATTATATATATATATATATTTCCTTAGAAATGGAATTCTTCGGCCACGCAATAAATATAATCTATTAAGTAAAAAAAAAGAATGATTTAAATCGGTTCAGCCGTTTTCAATGATTTATAAATTCATGGCACCATTTATATTTTCTGTAAACACGAGGTAAGATTTAGTGAGAGAAGACAGAAAAACTGCCTTGTACTAACAAATCTAACGAAAATTGTCTCGTATTGGATTCTTACTCTTACTCTTACTCCGCCGATACACGGCATTTGTTGCGAACATTAACTTATTAAACAATAAACAAAATTGTAGCTTTGTATCGAACACGTTAGTCAAAGGTTAGCCAGCTCTGAGACTCATTAGTTCTCAAAGCGATGTCTTAATATTTGCTGTTATATTGAGCTGTTATGAGTTTGCTCATAGCCTCTGCAAATAGCACCTTAAATCTGGTCATCCATTACAGATTTGTTCGATTTGACAAGTCTAGTGGCGGAGATTTTGCTAGGAAATCACATTATTTAAATTAACAACGCCTATTACTAACTTCATTTAATACAGTATTGCAATGAAATAAAGTTTGGGAGTTATTATTAAACACAAAATACAAATATTGTACAACTTCGTATTATTTATACCTTTCATATTACAAGGATAACAAGAAATCTAATATATAAAAACTAATGTTTGTTTGTTCATATTTTATGCGCTGCCATACCGTTCATCAGATTGCGGTAAAACTTTGTCAACATAATATTGCTTGCACTTCCGCGAAGGTTATAGCAACCGACAAATTTATTTGAAAGTTCTATTATACATCATTCAACTTGAGCCAATGTATAATCATCTCCAATTAAACAATATAAATATTCCAAAATTTAAAACTATACTTCCGCAATCATTTCTTCTGCAGCTGCAACGCGCCGGGTACCAGCTAGTAAAAAATAAATTACGATATCTAATGCCAAAATACCAAACATCAATATTTCTAAAAAAAAATCGCAGTCAATTTTAATGTAATTTAATTTCTTTGCATTAATCAAAACCAGCGCAGCGTGCGTAATCTTTCGGCCAACAATCATAATTACATGATAAAGCCACTTGTTTCATAACATTAATACCTGTGTACTTATGTATTAATGTTTGTAATAAATGCTCGCAACAAGCTAGCACGTCCTTAAACTTTGTCTTATTACAAAAAGCAGTTTATAATCAATATCAGGTTTAAACTACAGTATATTTCAATAAAGAAGTCCCGCAGAAAATATGCAAACTTAAATGAAATAAATGTATTATGAAATTTGACAACAAATGTAAAATTTCGCGTAGACTGGCACAGCGGTTGAGGTACTCCTTTCGTGTGAAAAAGACACTTCTTAAACCATACTTCGAACCCGAGATCATTAATAAACCACGTTTTGAATCTAGGCGCTGTGACTTTACCAAGCGATCAAGGTTGCTGTCGCCCACTATATTGGCATAATTAGAAGTAGGTTCTAATTACGCGATTTCATGCCGGTTGGACGATAATTGCTTAGTTAGACTACAATAGGCATGATAGGATTGTTACCGACGGACAAAATTACGGAGAGCGTATGCATACCTACTTGCTGGTACTTGCAAAAGAACATAATTGTTTTAATAATAACTAATTAAAAAGTGACCAGAATACATAGCAAAATTTAAATACTTTTGGAATTTCGTCGGTTGCATAACAAAGTAAACTGAAAACTAAAAATAAAGAAGCAAAGCTAAACTTCCCATAAAATAGCCCATAAGTGAATTAAAGTAATTTACAATTCGATTCAACAGGATATCGACGCGCCAGCCATTTTATATGGTTAAAGCTCCTCGGATCGTGTGAACGATTTTGTTCAATTTAGATTTACATAAATCTGTTCACACAATGCTATAAGTACCAATAAAATTGGAATCAAATTGGATGTACTAATGTGAAAATTGTATGTTACCAATTTTCTACACAGGTTTTGGACGTGTTACTTAGATTACACGTTGCTATCAAATCCTAACGTTAACAGTTTTTTATTTTTCAGAATTTATATAAGTTTTTTATATAATATAATTTAAATCCAGATTAAAAAGACCTTGACATTGCACATATTGTAACATAATATGTATTATATAACTATAGATTACTATAAACTTATTAAGGTAATTTTTACGTGGTAGAGCTTGCCTGCAACTAGGTATATTAGTAGTATAATTGTAGCAAGAATGGGTCGGCTCGACCGAGGAAGGAGCACGCTCTCACAGAATACCAGCGTAAAATACTCGTAGCAGCTTAACGCTACTGTTTCGTGTTGTGAGTGTAGAGAACCGGAACCCCTCCTTACTGGAATGAGGCATCTTAGTCCTCACGGGTGACAACGCATCTGCATTTTGATTCGTAATCGAGGATAGATATCAATGTCTAGGGGCCGCACTTACCATCAGGTGGACTGTGTGCTCGTTTGTCACCCTGTCTTATAAAAAAGAGGTAAAAACTTTATTAAACTACTCTTCTCTGTTGTGTAATACCCATAAACCTTTAACAATCCACTAGTAAGACGCGTGCTTCTTCCATTTGACAGATTGGCAGTTGGCAGTTGGCGATCGCAACCCCTGATCAGACGTTTCGCATCTTTAACCCAGCGTAAGAGAATATTACACCGCTATCCATTGAAGCCCATGAGCTTTTTCTGGCATTTTTCCCATAGTCACTTCTTACGACGCTCAGGGCATGATACAATGTGATGAAAATGAATGAATGGATTCTAATTCGCTACCCACGGTAGTATTACTATTGATATGGTACTGATAAAAACTTTGAATAATAATAATTTGTTCGATAATAATAGTTTAGCAACAAACAATTGTCTCTGTCTACCAGAGTCGAAACTCTCTTCTCTTCGTTTGACAAGTGAATAGGACAAAAGAGTCTATCCGGGCTAGTTAAAGCGAAAAGAGTGGTGTGTGTGTCCCACATTTCCCACGACAATGATATTAAATTGGTTTATCAATCACTGCGGGACGGATGCGGCGTGGTGTCGGTGGCCGCCGACCGTTCGTAGGCGGAGCAGCTACAAAACATTTTATTACGCTCAGCCAACGGAATGTTCCTTGCACGAACATAGGCAAATACATAATATGAAAATTCGTGCCTCGATTTTGAAAACTTCTACCTATTATATTCACAACTAGGTGTGTGCCGCGACTTCGCCCGCGTGTAATTGAGGGTTTTAATTATGTTGCGCGGAACCCTAATTCTTTTTCTCAAATATA